TTGGCTGTTGCATGGTTCTCCAGGGAAAGAGTTATAGACTCTGATGTTGTAAAATATCTCATTAGAATGTTAAAGACGTCATCTCCAACTTTGCAGACAAAGATTGCTTCCATCTTTGAGTATCTCACAAGTTTTAAACCATATGTGATGATGCTCACAATTTCTGACATTGAATCAGGGCTTCATGCTGTTTTTCAGAACCTACTGTCCAATTGTATGATTCTTCTCTCTTTTTTTTATTACTTTCATATGGCTTCATTATTTTAAGCAAATATTCACGACTGGCATTAGTTTTGGTAGCATGTTCTTAGTTGGAGTGCACCATCTCAGTTCATAATGTTATTTCTATCTTCTTGTTGTGCAAGTTTTAATGTAGTAATTCAAACAAAGCACTCTTGAAACTATTATCTTCACTGTTTGTTTTGGTGGGAGTTTGATATGATTCTTAGCAGAAATTATGACAAATAATATTTTATTGTAAGAACATTAATAACTCAAGATGAATACAAAGATAAACACTTGCAATTCGAGAGGTAAGTGATATCTCACATTTCCTACAATTTGAGTGGTTTGAAATCTCTCCCAAACCTTAAACCCAAAACTCCATGCACAATCTCTTGCATAACTTTAACACTAAACATATTAGTCCTATTTATATTTGATGCGTGCTAGAAAATTTATGGCGGTAGAGTAGCGAATTATTGTCTTAGCGCTGTACAAGAATCCAATGCACACTCAGTTGAAAGAAAATAATCATAGGGACACTATAAGATTTTATGTGAAAAATCCGGAAAGGAAAAAAACCACGGGGCCTTGCCTAGTTGAAATATTCCACTATAAGTTCCACATGCGAGAAAAGGTTACACGGTTTCTCGGATTACAATGTCCGTGCCCAGAAGAACTTGTTCCCATATGGTAGGAAGCGGGAGGCGACTGGAGTTGGCCGAAAGCAGCGATGGTGTTAGAAGTTGGTCTGAGGTGGGGCGATTTGAGTTGGCCAAAGGCGGTGGTGGTCAGAGTTGGTTGGAGGCGTCGATGGTCAACGACAAACAAAGTTGTTCGGAGGCGGTGACGATCAGAGTTGGCTGAAGATGGTTGCGGTCGGATGCGATGACAATCAGAATTGGCAGGAGGTAGTGTAGGTTGAAGGTGGCGGCAACCAAAGTTGGCCTGAGGCAGTGGTGACCAGATTTGGTCGGAAGTGGGGGTAATTGGACTAAGGTGGCAGCGGCCAAAGTTGGCCAAATTTACAGTTTAGGATGCTGGGTTGCAGCTCTGTCTTCTGCAGGCTCTGGTTTTTCTCTTGCCCAAGGTCTAGGTCTCCTATCATGGGAGTTGTAGAGCTTTATTTATAGAATCCATATTGCAAATAAGAACTAAATCCGAACCACTATTGATTGGATGGTTCAGAGAGATCCTGTTGATTGAACATCGTTCGATAGACATTTTAGTTCCTTAATGATGTTGGAATTATCGAGGCGCTCGATTTGACTATAAGCATGTCATATTTAGAATTCGTTTAACCTTCCAATTATGTCCAGGAAGTTTCTAAAAGTGATTTTATAGCTTGGTATCGGCTTGAATTATCTCAAATTAGGCCGATTTTGATATCGTTAGGGCTGTCTCATTGAGCCAATCATTTTGACTGTATATTTGGTGAAATCAGTGTTTTGGATGACTTCAAATCCAATTTTGAATGTTTTTTTCTAAAAATTTGCCTTAAGATCCGTGTCATAGCTTGAGATTCATGCACGATGATTGAAATTTGTTAAAGACATATCAATACTAAACAATATAATAAATTACAAAAAACTAAATTTTACTTTCGCATACAAAAGACAAAATTTCCTTAAGCTAGACACCGATGTAACAATACTTTCTCCCAATACACCTTGTCCTCAAGATGGGAAAACATAAAGGTGTTCCTCCTCCACAAGCTTCTCAGTTTTTTTATCCTTTGCCTCATCAAACATTATGAGAACCTGTAATGCTTGATCATTGCAACGATGTCCTAGGATAAAATTCTCATTACACAGAAAACATAATCACTTGGCTCGCTTTTTCTAAATTTTTGTCTTTGTCAGATGCTTGAGTGTTGCTTCCAATCATGACCCATGATTCTTGATGTGTGAAACCTCCCTCTGAACTTCCACATTTTGAGCTTTTGTTATCGTCGTGGTTGTAGCAGTTCGATATGACACTCCACATGTATTGCTCTGATTAGCCCGTGCCATTTCATTATGATCTTATACCAACCGCCCTAATTCCATAATTTCTCCCTAGTTTCGCGGTCTCAGTGGATGAAGTGTTGCATGTTTGTCGGGCTTTAGATCCTTCATGAAGTTCAACTCCAATAGTGTTTCACAAATTCCCCTCTGTTGTCCTGACAAGAGTTTACATTTCTCTTAATACTATTTGACAGTTTCTTTCCGAGTCGATGCAAAGAATTTCTCATGTAGGTCCTCTTCCCGTTTGGCTCGAAAAAGTTCGAACAAACCTTAAATTCTTCCCACGAGCGGATTAGGTATTTAGTCACCTTTGAAGTCTTGCTAAGTCCTTCCCTTCCAAACATAACCCTGCTGTCATGAGCTTCTCCTCCTCATTTAGCACATTTATCTTGAAATATCGCTCCACCCGGTACACCCACCCAAATGCGTCCCCCCTGGATGATCGACATCTTCAACTTCTTTATGCGCGAGCTTCCTGCCCAATTCTTTTGACGAAAGTTCATTCTGCCCATGAAGCGGTGGTTTGGTTCCATTCTGCATCCTATGTTGAATTTCATCCTTCCAAAAATCTGACTCTTCTCATAATCAACCTGCCAATCTATATAGACTTGCCTCACATTTCTCCCTGAGGTTGTGGAAAAAGGCGTTGGCACAGTTGGATGCAACCCTTTACTGGTGTCCTACCTATCGTGGTTTCTTGTTCCAGACCATAATCTTTCAAATCGATCTTCTCGAGCCCCTAATCCAATATTGTTCCATTCTGCCTGCCGATGCTCGTTCCCACCGTCTGAATGCCACATTATTCCTTTTAAGGACTGTCGCTTGAGTCTGCTCTTGATGCTCCTACTCGATCTTACTGCAGGAGGCTACAAGTTTACTTGAAACTCGATAAATTTTTTCATCATTTCTTTCACCATCTTAAGTCTGCTCTCCGTGGACAAAAATCGCTCATCTATGGATGTAAATAGCCCCTTCATCGGCGAGAAATGCTCATCCATTCTTGATCTGATTTGTCTCACATGCTCCTCTAATTTTTCTTCCAAGGCATGCTTTCTTGAATGTCATTATTTTCCAAAAAACTTTCAATCATAAAAGACAAATAATGTAATTTGAAGTCCCGCCTTTGGCCCCTAAGATAGTTTGAATCACGACTATATCTCGATAATAGGTCATTGTATGGCCCCGATCTCATCGTTCTCTTCTTTATAGGTCAAATCAAGTGGTTGTTCGCTTTGTATGTTGTGATTGTTGACCTCATTTTTTAGTAAGGTCTTAGTCTCCTACTCTTAGAACCTAGGATATAGCTTTAAGAGTTCTTATTGACCATCCTAGCGGACTAGCCATGGAGCCCACCTCCCGTAGAACTTCAAGCCACTTCTCGACTCATTTTTGTGAAGAACTCGCATGAGTGGTTCCAAGCATTCAACTTCTAGTTGCAAGGGCTAAGAACCAGCATGCAGAGGGCTTGAAAATGAGTTCCTATAGGATCAAACAGCCTTAGGTAAACCCTTTGTGACTTGATTACTCGTGAGCGTCGCAATTCACACACTCGTTACACCACACACGACTTTGACTTGCCCGCCGACAAGCTTGTCCGGACGACCCTAGATGACGAAACGGACAACACCGACGCGTCCAGAACGTCAACTTTAGCTAGGAAGAACACCCATATTGCTAAGGTTACACGCGCTCACAAATGAAACGGAAATCGATGCGCATTCTTTTAGCGGGACGCGGGCCCGGGATCAACCCAGGTTCGACGGGCTTGATTCGGGCTAGGCACCAGCTCACAGATTTTGAATTTTAAATTTCAAAATTCAGGCGGGTTATTTAAGACTCGTATTGATTGAAAATATTTGAATGTTATTATTTTCCAATTAAACCGTTTGCAGGAGAGGTGCAGGAAAGGAAATCATTAATTTCCCCGCCAATGTTGTCCCGTAACGGCTCTTTCTCCAGCAGGCCTATTTCTTTCTCGCTCACGAGAGCCGCGGCTGGCTGCTTTTGATTCGAAAGAAATCCTCCGCTCCTCCGCTCGTCTTCCCCCTGCCTGGCTTGCTTCTCCATCTCCTGCTCGATCCCGTCTCCCGTATCTTCCTTGGAGAGGACCCCCGATTGGATATCTCCCGCACTCGCTCCCTTCTCGATCCCGATCCCTCGCTCTCTCTGCTCGATCCTGTCTCCCGCACCGAAGAAGCCACAAACCCCGTTTCCTTCTTCCTCTCGCATCTTCCCCACGCCGAAAACCCTCGCCTCCCGCTCTTTGCTTGCCTCCTCTCTGCGACAAAGAAACCCCTCCCGCTCGCCTTCTCCTCTCGCGTTCGACTGAGGATCTCTGTTCGGCTTTTTTCCGCTCGAGTTCACTTCTCTGCACCGAAGCCCTAGCCTTAGTGTGGAGCATTCGCTGGTAGTTGTTTCCCGAAACTTTTAGGAAGAGGATTCCTTTGGAAGACATTTTTTTGTTGGATCTGCCTTTGCTTTGCTTTAAATCAGCATAATGAAAGAGGTATTCTTCTCCTCTCCTCTGTTTTGCATTACTTCGGATGACATGAAGTATGAAAGTTTATTTTGAAGTTTAAGCATGAATATTTGCTTAGTTTGGTGGGAAATGAAGCAGATATATATATGGGTCACATCTACTTTTCTTTACTTGAAGCACTTGAAAGCATGACTAGGGTGATCTTGAAATGCATTTTACTCTTTTAGAAATACATTTGAAAAAACATATTTGGGGTTTATGTTTTGTCTCTCTTGTTGCCCCTCATTAGAATATTTGTTGGAAATGATTTGTATATGCTGAAAGATACATTTGGGCTTATGTTTTATTTGCTCTTGCTGCCCCTCATCAAAATATTTGTTGGAAATGATTTTTTTATGTGCTGAAAGATTCATTTGAGCTTATGTTTTATTTCCTTTTACTGCCCCTTGCTAGAATACTTGCTGGAAGTTGTTTTATGAATTGAAAAAATGTGTTTGGGGGCTTATT